TCCGGGCCCGCCCCCTCCGGGCCCGCCCCCTCCGGGCCCGCCCCCTCCGGGCCCGCCCCCTCCGGGCCCTCCACGCGGGGGCCGGAGAAGCTCTCCGCCCTTGGGGTGTCACCCGAGGGTCCGGCCGCTGCTTCCGCCAGGACGAGCCAGTCCCGGCAGGGGCTTCAGACCACATTCATTTCACCAGTCTTTAAGTTGTGAAGTCCGAGCACCACAGAGCCGCCGACCTGGGCGCTCCTGGACCTCTACTAGAAAACTCTGTGGAAAGCAGTGTGGCGATTCCCCAAAACTCTAAATATCAACCTCCCACATGACCCCGCGATCCCCCTACTGGGAATATATCCTGAAGAACTCAAATCACTCTATCCAAAAGATACCTGCACACGTATGTTTATCGCAGCATTGTACACACCAGCAAGAACCTGGAAGCAGCCATGCTGTCCATCAAAAGAGGACTGGATTGAAAAAAAAAGGGGTACATGTACACGAGGGAATACTACGCAGCCATAAAAAAAGAGCAAAATCATGAATTTCGCAGCAACCTGGATGGAACTAGAGTCTATAATGCTGAGTGACCTCTCACAGAAACAAAGATCCGAATATCACATGTTTTCACTCATATGATGGACCTTGAACATCCAATGTAATACTATAAGAAAATGACTGACAGTAGTGGGAAACTATGGGGGGGGGAGATGGGATTAACGGTAGCAAATATCTGTCTGGGGACGGGGAAACACCTCATATCAACAAGGGTTTCTGAACGAAACGTATTTGTATACCTAACCCTTAACTGTACCCCACAATATCATAATAAAATAAATAAATAAGTAAATAAATAAGTAAAGAAAACTCTCAGACGGTCGACAGGTCCCGCCAGAAACCAACTCAATCACACACACCCTGCCGCTCGGCCTTTTGCTCAGAGGCCCCAATAAAAACATTGTAAATCAGGAACACCCCGGTTGGCTTGCAGTTTGAGTCCTGGTTTACTTAGTAGCATTCAAGAGTTATAGTGCAAATAGACGTCATTACGGCTAATGACAAAATTACTATTCATTATAAATACCAACCAAGTTAAATAATACTATTTTAACTATCCTTTCCTCTTTGGACTGGGGTTCAGATTCTTCCTTTCCTGGAAGTTATTTTCATGGATAAAATCTTTAGCGTTTTTCGGTTACCTCTTTCTTCACCAACTGTACCCAAGACTCTTCTGTAACCAGAATGTGAACCTGGGTGGCCCTGGAAGCAAGCTCCTTCCCATTCTTCCTGGATTAGCCCAAAATCTTTTTTTTTTTTTTTTTTTTAATAGAGACAGGGTCTTGCTATGTTGATCAGGCTGGTCTTGAACTCCTGGCCTCAAGCAATCCTCCCACCTGGGCCTCCTAAAGTGCTAGGATTACAGGTGCGATCTATCACACCTGGCCAAGTCAAAACTTTTCCAGTGAGTTTGCTCCCACTCAAGTTTCGTAAAACACCAGCCACCTCTTCTTGTTCTAGGGTTGGATACCTCTGACTGATTTCACACAGTCAAGCAGTCACCAGCATTTTCCATGCCTCACACCCACTTGCTTGCCCACCCTGAAAACTTTACTGAGACTCCATTAGAAGCCTGACTTTCACTTTTCATGTTTCTATGTCTCCTACTCTACTGAAAAATAAGCTCTGTCCTGACATTAAGACAAAAAGTGACTTAAATTAACTTTGCCCTTTAAGTAATAGAAGATTTTTTTCTCCCCTTCTTTATAGGATTAGCAAAATATTTCACACTACCCACTTAAATGTTTTTCCTTAAATGAAAAAATGTATGCAAAATTACCACAACAGACATCGCTCAATAGGTGCTGGTGGGTTAATTAGCATACTCTTCTTTCCTTTTTAAAAAAATTTTTTTTGAGTTGGAGTCTCACTCTGTCGCCCAGACTGGAGTGCAGTGGTCGCTCCTGGCCGCCGCAGCCTCAACCTGCTGGGCTCCGGCGATCCTTCCGCCTCAGCCTTCCAAGTAGCTGGAACTACAGGCGCGTGCTACCACACCCAGCTCATTTTTGATATATTGTAGTGATGAGGTCTCGCCAAGTTGCCCAGGTGGGTCTCGAACCCGTGGGCTCAGGCAGTCCGCTCACCTCAGCCTCCCAAAGGCGCGGGATTACAGGCTGAGCCACTGAGCCCGGCTAACTCTTCTTTCCTTTCATTGACATGTGGAGATCATGGAAGTTGAGTACTCTTAAATGCATCAATGGAGTCTTAAAAAGCAATGGTGCCTGCTTCTAAGTCTTGCAGAGAAATGACCTTCTCCTTGAGAAAGGAAGAGTAGCAACATTTCTATCATGCTCTGGGTGTCATTTCAATGCCACATAGCTATGAGGCTTGGGTTAGGCAACAGAAATTATGAAAATAATTCTTGAAAACAACTTCCAAGGTTAATTTCTTTTAAAATCTGACTATTAACTCATACTGCTATAAAAACATCTACATTAACAACAACAACAACAACAACAAAAACTTCAATAAAAGCATTATGGTTCTATAGGAAGCTCAAGTTACACTTATCAATGCACTAAAATGAAGAAAGGAGTTTTATCCAAGTCAACTGAAAAACTGCCTTCCCTCTAACCATCCAATGTCTAAAGCGAAAATTTAAGTTCTGGTCTTTGATTTGCTCTCCAAAATCCTGTAACAGGTATTGTCTTGATGGGCTCTATATAGATTCATCAGATTTAAAAACAAGCAAGGGCTTCTACTCCACACCCCAATGATAGAATAAAGATCATCTCTGAGCAGCAGGCAGAGTTATTTATTTATTTATTTAATTTTTATTTTAAAGATATAGGGTAAAATTCAAGGTTAGGTATACAAATGGTCATTGTACAGGTAAAGTTTGGGCCTCACTTTGGTCCCTACTTAACGTACTTTGAGATCAGGTACCCTTTTTGATGAAGTGTCCCCTCCCCTCCAGAAAGTTTCACACTACTGCCATCCTTTTCTCATAGTATTATGATAATTGTTTCTGTGATAGATCTCTGAGTATTACAGACTCTAAATCCATCCAAGTTGCTGTGAAGTTCATAATTTTATCCTTCTTTATGGTTGTGCAATATTCCATCATATATATGTACCACAATTTTTTTATCCAGTCTACTTTCAATGGGCAGCATGGTTGGTTCCATGTTTTTGCTGTTGTGACTAGTGCTGCAATAAATATGCACGCACAGGTAACTTTTTCATAGAATGATTTGAGTTCCTCTGGGTATATTCCCAGAAGGGGGATTGCTGGGTTGTATGGGAGGTCGATTTTTAGATCTTTTAGGAACCACCACACTTTTCCACAGAGGTTGTACTAGTTTACACTCCCACCAACAGTGTAGAAGTGTTCCCTTTTCCCTGCATCCTCTCCAGCATCTGTTGTTTTTTGAGTTATTGATAATGGCCTCCTGACTAGAGTTAGGTGGTATCTGTGTAGTTTTAATCTGCATTTCTTTGACGACTAGTGAGGCTGAACACTTTTTCATGTATATGTTGGCTGCTTGTATGTCTTGTTTTGAGAAGTGTCTATTCATATCTTTTGCCCACTATTTTTTTTAAGTTGGTATCTCACTCTGTCACCCAGACTGGAGTGCAGTAGCATGCTTATGGCCACCCTAGCATCAATCTGCTGGGCCCCGGTGAACCTCCTGCCTCAGCCTTCCAAGTAGCTGGAACTACAGGCATGCACCACCATGCCTGGCTAAGTTTTTATTTATTGTAGATATGAGGTCTCACCAAGTTCCCTGGGCTGGTCTTGAACCTGCGGGCTCAGGCACTTTGAGAGGCCACTCACCTTGGCCTCTCAAAGTGTTGAGGTTACAGGCTGAGCCACTGAGCCTGGGTTTGCCCACTTTTTAATAGGGCTGTTTGTTTTTTTCTTTTCGGCATGTTTGAGTTCCTTGTAGATCCTAGATGTTAGGCCTTTGCAGGATATACAGTTGGCAAATATTTTTTCCTAGTCTGTGGGCTGTCTCCCCACTCTCTCAGTGCTTTCTTTGGTTTTCCAGAAGCTTGTCAGTTTGATGGGGTCCCACTTGTCTATCTTATCTCTTATGGCATGGGTACTTGGGGTTTTGATCAGGAATTGGTTGCTAGTTCCAATTTCCATAAGGGTGTCTCCTGCGTTTTCTAAGGTTCTTTTTTTTTTTTTTGAGTTGGAGTCTCACTCTGTTGCCCAAACTGAAGTGCAGTGGCACGTTCCTGGACACCACAGCCTCGACCTGCTGGGCTTCAGCGATCCTTTCACCTCAGCCTTCCAAGTAGCTATAACTACAGGCGCATGCTACCATGCCCAGCTAATTTTTTATTTATTGTCGAGATGAGGTCTCGCCAAGTTGTCTGGGCTGGTCTCAAACTCGCGGGCTCAGGCAGTTCCACTCGCCTCAGCCTCCCAAAGTGCTGGGATTACAGGCTGAGCCACTGAACCTGGCCTTCTAAGGTTCTTATAGTTT